AATAATTATCTAAGTGTTAACTAACTACAGTAATTATCAGCGAGCCAAAAGTTATCACTCACAATTGTTCAAAGTACCAAGAAGTATCAAAGATCTTGTTTCCTTATTGTCTTGGCCTGTCGCCTCTGAGCCAAGAACATCCCAAACAGTAAATAACTTTAATTACCCCTTAATGAGGAGTTGTGGCAGCGTCAACAGTTATTAGACGCAGAGAGTAACTTCAATATGTTCTTGTATATAGTTACCCATTATGAAGAGATAGGCAGGGTACTTTCCATCTTCTTCTCCTGTGTAACACTCCATGGCTCTTCCACTGCAAGGGTAGACCGTGGAGGGTATTCATAGTGTATATACGTGGTGACAGGGTAAGTATTAGTGTTAACCTAGAGGACAAAGGTCATCATAAACGTTACAATATCTGGAAACTCTGTCATTAATACTTTTACCTCAGAACTTATATTGTTTAGCATTAAATTGCATCTGCCAGTCTTTGGTTCATTTTCAATCTTGGGTCTTTTAAATTTATTTCCCGGCCTGTTTTTGTGTCCGCAAATTTGCAAATATGGCAGCTCAGTTCCGTATCTAAATCGTTTATATTAATGATAAACAACAGAGGTCCCAGAACAGAGCTTTGTGGCACTTCACTTACAACAGTTTCCCTCTCTTTTTTTTATACTATATCCATTTATACTAACTCCTTGTTTCCTTTGGTATAGTCATGTCCTTATCCTATTTAAGATAGCATCCTCTAATACCGAGAGCAGCTACTTTTCTTATCAATATTTCATGTTGTACAATATCAAAGCTTTGCTAAAGTCTTATTATAGCTATATATTATTTGCTAAAGTCAGATTATAGATATTAGTGTGGGGTCATTGTTATCCTGTCTACGGACCTAGAATTTGCTATAAATATTGCTAAACTAGTTACCCACCACCACCACCGTGACGTCACCCACCGCCACCACCATCCACTCTATTCTTCCCAAGAAACTCCTTAAGCCATCAAAATGAGCATTTGAGAAATATGACTCTAACAGAATTTTCTCCTTAACCTTTATTTCATTGTACGTTAAATCTCGCCTATTTCCTTGTGATCACTGTTCACTAGCTCCCTATTTCCTTGTGATCACTGTTCACTAGCTCCCTATTTCCTTGTGATCATTGTTCATTAGCTCACTCCCTATTTCCTTGTGATCATTGTTCATTAGCTCACTCCTTATTTCCTTGTAATCACTGTTCACTAGCTCACTTCCTATTTCGTTGTCATTTATTTGCATTCCTGTTAACACCGAGTCGTCAGAAACATTCTTTTAATTTGTTGGCTCTTGAATATGTTGCTTAAGGAAGCAATCATCAACTAATTCTAAAAAAATAATCTACCTCGATATTTATTGTCTTCTGAGTGCAGTTTACTCGACTAAAATTAAAGTCACCTATAACACACGCACCATTTAGCCTAGATTATCTTTATATTTTATCTCATACATGATTGACTCATCTTCCATTTAGTTGAAGATTTTTTGCCTGTATAAACCTCCTGTTATTAGATAATTTATATTTTCTCTTTAATCGTAACCAAATAGCTTCCGTATGTGGCACTGCTTTGATGTCCTCTTTGGCATTACCTATAAAATTTCCCATGGCTACTCCCCCTTCCTAATCTAATCTGTATACCCGAATGAGGGAGGGAGGGAGGGAAGGAGTTATCAGGGGAAAGCGCCAAGCCATTACGACTATGTAGCGCTGCGAAGGGGTCAGGATAAGGACTAGGGATGGGACGGAATGGTGCCCAACCACTTGAACGGTCGGGGATTGAACTCCGACCTGCATGAAGCGAGACTGTCGCTCTGCCGACCAGACCAAGTGGTTGGGTAAAATAATTATTAATTCCTTAATTTGATGTTCAGCTAATAGTTCTTTTACATCTATATACGCGTGGGTTACTGCAATGATATCTCCATCACCAAACAGTTTAAAAAAGACAATCTCCTCTAACCTCACATTTAAAAGAATGAAATAAAGTTACGTGACTGAGTACCTGTGTCACATAAAAGTGCAGTCATGCAGTCATCGGGAGGGTAAACCCTTCATGCAAACTGCACCTACTCTCAAGAAGAAGAAGATATTGAGTGTGTGTGTGTGTGGTGAAGTTGTGTCCGACAACTTCGGACCTCCCACAACTCCAATTTATTCCCAGCATGTTCTAGAAAGCAGTGTGACTCCAATTAGTCATTATGGTCACCCTGTGCTGCCGAGACTACTCAGCTTAAGAACTAAGGGAAGTGCTGAATATCTGACTAAACCCCATGTCATTTAACTATATGGCCCTATAACTCTTATATAGATTAGTTGGTTAAGCAGCATAACAATACCCTAACAAGGGTAAGCTTCATTATTATAACAATTTAAGCTCATGTGTAACACCTGTACGTATATTTAGTCATCAGATCTTAGGGTGTATGGTATCCCTAGGTCAGTGTGACCACATGAGACACAATTGAGCTGGCCACACCAGGACCACTCAGACGCCAATCACTGGAGTTCGTGTGTCTAAGGGTATCTGATGTGTGATAACCAGTCACCACTACTGAAATAGCTGAGGCCATTTAAATGTTCTTTATATAGTTGTGTGATCTATACCTCAATAGTAATTATATCTACCGTTCAATTACGGTAAGATTAAAATATGAAACCTCCCCCCCCCCTCAAAAAAAAAATGTGTTAAGAGAAGTTTATTGATGACAATAAATTATAAAATACAGACCTCTTCGAAGTATTAGACACAATTTCTTAAAATAACAATCAAATCAATCATCAGTAGGTTTCCCTACACCACTAGCAGCAAAGTGTTGGGATGCAAGTGACAGAAGAAAATCTGATCTTACTCTATGAGGGATCGAGCAGAGACCCTAGTGAGACTTAGTGAGTTCAGCTTAAACGAAGTAAAGGTGTCTGATTTGCAGTAAATATAACTAAGGCACCAAGTCATTATTGCCATTATAGTTGTGCCACATTGTGCCTTAAAGTTAATGCATTGCTTAAACCAGAAAGCTAATACAATAATAATGTATTAGTGAATTAACTTAATGATCATTACAACATTTTAACATACAAACTCAATACATCAACACTATAATTAAAATACTAGCTGACCTGTAGATTAATAAAATATATTATATCCACACTAATACAGTACTTTAGCATTATATTTATTATGTTAACATTATAATTATTAACTAAACCTTATCTATAATACTATAAACATTGCAACTAATGAAATAATCATAATAAATTTGCTAATATTAAAATGATGGCAATACTCTGGTCGTAAGCCTAATACTAGGATTTAACATTATAATTTATTTGTGAATGTGTGAATTTAGCCATTTTGGCCTCATTACAATTAACATTACTCGAATTACCAAAAATTAAAATTGCAAATAATATTGTGGTGGTTAACCGTCAACTGACAGATGGAGGCCCCAAGTGTGGTGCCTCTACTGAGCTCTCAGTCGTCACAAGTTGTGTTATGTAGAGATCAGTTGAAACCTCATCGTTTCTTACTTTTCTGATGTGTGGTTTGGTCACCATAACTCTCCAAGATTCGTATTACATTGTTATGGGGGAGGGGGCACTGAAGAAAGAGTCCTGAAAGACATAATGGACTGAAACGAGACATTTACCAACACTAAACAGGAAACACCGCTTACCATATACCACAAGAGTAAAAAGACTGCTAAGTTGCACACGAAGAACTTTCCCGACACAATGAAAAGTCTTTAAAGAGAGGAATATCTTCTGTTCCTTAACATCCGGACCAGGTCACTAGTAACCAATAGGACCTATTGGTCCAACAATAGGCTACTCGTGTCCTATTGTTGGACCAATAGAACACGAGTAGCCAATAGGACACGAGTATCCAATTGGACAAAAGTAACCAGTAGGTCACGAATAACTATTCAGTCACGAGTAACCAATAAGTCAAGAGTAATAAGTAGGTCAAGAGCAGCTGCATGACATCTGATGTACCATTGTTGGACAGCACCTCATTTTGATGTCCGCTCCACTCCTTAATGACGAAGTACTTCATCCTGCAATACCTCGATTTATTACCTGGTTATGTCATTTCGTTGGCTGGGCCGGTTAGTGGTGGTAAACCACACACAAACTTCACAAATGACCCACACCTCCTGCCAACCCATGGGGGATAAGACACCGATCTTTCCATCCTCCTCGTTCCCAAACCCCATCCTCTTCCAGAACTTCAAGTCATCATCCACCTTCCTCCCCCAACCTTCTCCAAGCCCTTTGGACATCGACGTTAAGTATTACCCTGATGACTGGCGGACCTGGGACCCATCCTGGGAAGAAGTGACTGGGTCACTTCACTGCATCTAAGCCCATTATTGCCACGTGCAGAAAACACAAGGAAGAAACCCAGTGTTCTCTTGCATTCACTAAAACACGGTCCTCCAGTTCATATTCTAAACCTGCGTTCAGCTATCGTCCATTAGTGTGATTAGTCCAAATGGCTTAATTCTATAATAACAAAATCCATTCCTTTATAGGAACAGGGACTCAGGGACAAAGCACAGGGATTCCAAACCCGATTCCCAGTGCCTTCTTTGACTAACTTAGAGGAAAACTCCGGAGCTGGAGCCCCCAGAGCAGTTCGTTGTTGCCTTCAGCCTCGTTCTGACAGTTCCTGCGACGGCGCTGGAACCAATCGTATTGGCGCTTGGCTTTCCATTGGGGATTTCGACGACATGGAGAGGTGGGACCTGCTGCTGTATAGGTTATCTTGAAGGTTATCTTGAGATGATTTCGGGGCTTTTAGTGTCCCCGCGGCCCGGTCCTCGACCAGGCCTCCACCCCCAGGAAGCAGCCCGTGATAGCTGACTAACACCCAGGTATCTATTTTACTGCTAGGTAACAGGGGCATAGGGTGAAAGAAACTCTGCCCATTGTTTCTCGCCGGCGCCTGGGATCGAACCCAGGATCACAAGTCCCGCGTGCTTTCCGCTCGGCCGACCGGCTCCCCTTGGTGTATACATCAGTGCCCTCGTCAGCAGATGTCACATGGTGACCAAATCACACATCAGAAAATGAAGAAATACCAACATTTCGGTCCATCCTGGACCATTATCAGGTGGTGTGATAGAAGAGAAAAAGGGACAGGGCCAATAAAGAAGGTAACAGAGTGAGAGGAGAAGTGAGGAGCAGGTAAGAGACATAAAATAAAGGTAGTTGTACAGGCAGGTCTCGGCTACAATTCTTGGACACAATCAATAGCCGGCGACGAGCATAGACAAGTGGCCGACATACAACGTTGTACAACACGTTCTCTTAACTAATTAATCGTGTTTTGTCGTTACTGTAACCAACGGTACGAATGCAACCTATTAAGAAAAGTTACTGCTCACAAATATTTACATTTTCTATGCATCGTCTTGTCGTCTTGATGGCTTAGGTTGGTTGGTCCCTTGGATATGTGAGTCTCTAAGAAGATTAGGAGCTTGGGATTTTTACGGAGTGGCAAATCAGGAGTAGAGGGTGAGGAGACACCAGCAGCAGGGTGACTATGGAGGCCGTATATACACGGCCCCAACACGACATTCAGGCCACGGGAGACATCTCCCGTCACGCAGGGTGCAGTAGCACCTCCACAGATCTCCAGTATCAGCTCTTGATACTGGTAATGGCTCAAAAGGGCCACCACTTACGGGCTATTCATGCCCGTGCCACCTTTTGGGTGGCTTAATCTTAATCAATCAGTCAATCGACAGTCAGGCAGTAGACAACTGGATTAAGCTTCTCCAACTCGCAGGACACTGGATTGAAGGATCAACTTGGATAAGTTGAGACGGATAGGTTGTAATGTATCCCTAGTAGCTGTTCCCCTCATCTGTAACACATGAGACAAGAACTATCACTTTAGCGTGTCTATTAAAATATTTATTCTATTCAGTTCATATTGCATAATTAAGGGGGGTTCAATAAACAGTTAATTTATCATCATAATCTACTGGAATAATTGTTTTTTTAGCCTCAACTAAATAGTGTGTTCTTAAGAAATTATGTTGACATTCCTAATAAAGCTGGAAGCTGAAACTTGCAGTCAGACATCAGCTGAATTCAAACGAACTTCAGAATATGACTTATTTAAGAGACTCACTATTAGTTTGCATTAGGAATAATATATTTGATGCTTAGCTAAAATTATGTTAGTTATTCGATGAACAAGGACACCTGTCTTCAGAGACTTCATGATGTCAGTTGATTGATTCTCTGTGTGTCTGTGTGTCTGTGTGTCTGTGTGTCTGTCTGTCTGTGTGTCTGTCTGTCTGTGTGACTGTCTGTCTGTCTGTCTGTCTGTCTGTCTGTCTGTCTGTCTGTCTGTCTGTCTCTCTGTATCTCTGTCTCTCTGTCTCTCTGTCTCTCTGTCTCCGTCTCTGTCTCTGTCTCTGTCTCTGTCTCTGTCTCTGTCTCTCTGTCTCTCTGTCTCTCTGTCTCTCTGTCTCTCTCTCTCTCTCTCTCTCTCTCTCTCTCATATCATGGGCAATAATTGCTGCCATACTTACCTAGGTTCACTGCAGCGTGTAATGAGAAACACGTTATCAAAACATCGTAGTAATGCAGTAAAACATTTTATATACATATTGATACTTGTATTAAGTATTTTGTAAGGAAGACTTTTAAGTACAAATAAATTCATTTTGGGTGGACGTCATTATGAATATTATATAATACATAGGGTTGAAGAGTTGAGTGTCCCATATGACGAGCAGGCATGTTGCAGGTGAACTGCTCAATAAATATTATGAACACCAGGACAGTTTAAGATGAACAGTTCACTAACCTATATCAACACCAGCTTTGGAGAAGATGAACAGATAAATAAATAATATGAATATCAGGGCTGGCGAAGATGAATAGCTGAATAACTAATATGAACACCAGGACTGGCGAAGATGAACTGAATAGGAGGAACACTTTTTGATCGTGTCGACTGTTCATTATGGAACAGCATGAACACAGACTGGTAAAGTCGAATAAGAAGAACATCTCAACAATCATCAGATCTGTAGAAGTTGAACAAAATGAACACAGACCATGAAGCTGAACAGAAAGAAGGAGATTTTTATAAAGAACACCAATATGAGCACCGGAGAAGAGAAGGTATCCACCAGAACACCACCATGAACACTCCGGATGATCAAAAGTGAACAGAAGAATAACAAGAACGGTGCCCTACACGAGTCAACAGAGACGGTGCATGTACAGGTGAAGAACATATAACTAGTAGAGCTGAACATGACGACCATGGAAATGAACACAAGGGATGGTACAGCTGAACATAATGAACATAGTAATGAACATAAGGAACACTGTCACGGGCAAGACTGTCAGGGTGATAACCAATTCAGTGCAAACAATTACCTTGATTACTTAACCTGACTAAGTGACATGTAGCTGATTAGATGAACACCTGAATGAACAATCATCAAGGTGAAGAAGAACGTTGTGAACATCTTAATGACCACTAGTTACAGCACACAACTAACTGTAGGTACAGCACACACTAACACTAGTTACAGCACACCCCTACACTAGTTACAGCACACCCCTACACTAGTTACAGCACACACCTACACTAGTTACAGCACACCCCTACTCTAGTTACAGCACACACCTACACTAGTTACAGCACACACCTACACTAGTTACAGCACACACCTACACTAGTTACAGCACACACCTACACTAGTTACAGCACACACTAACACTAGTTACAGCACACACCTTCACTAGTTACAGCACACACCTTCACTAGTTACAGCACACACCTTCACTAGTTACAGCACACACCTTCACTAGTTACAGCACACACCTTCACTAGTTACAGCACACACCTTCACTAGTTACAGCACACACCTTCACTAGTTACAGCACACACCTTCACTAGTTACAGCACACCCCTACACTAGTTACAGCACACCCCTACACTAGTTACAGCACACACCTACACTAGTTACAGCACACACCTACACTAGTTACAGCACACACCTACACTAGTTACAGCACACACCTACACTAGTTACAGCACACACCTACACTAGTTGCAGCACACACCTTCACTAGTTACAGCACACACCTACACTAGTTACAGCACACCCCTACACTAGTTACATCACACTAACATTAGTTACAGCACACACTAACACTAGTTACAGCACACACCTTCACTAGTTACAGCACACACCTTCACTAGTTACAGCACACACCTTCACTAGTTACAGCACACACCTTCACTAGTTACAGCACACACCTTCACTAGTTACAGCACACCCCTACACTAGTTACAGCACACCCCTACACTAGTTACAGCACACACCTACACTAGTTACAGCACACACCTACACTAGTTACAGCACACACCTTCACTAGTTACAGCACACACCTACACCAGTTACAGCACACACCTGCACTAGTTACACCACACACCTTCACTAGTTACAGCACACACTAACACTAGTTACAGTACAAGCCTAAACTAGTTACAGCACACACCTACACCAGTTACAGCACACACCTACACCAGTTACAGCACACACCTACACCAGTTGCAGCACACACCTACACTAGTGATAGCACACCCCTACACTAGTTACAGTACACGCCTAAACTAGTTACAGCACACACCTACATTAGTTACACCTTCACTAGTTACAGCACACACCTACATTAGTTACACCTTCACTAGTTACAGCACACACCTACACTAGTTACACCACACACCTACACTAGTTACAGCATGTTACGGCCCTCTCGGGACGCAACGGGGTTCTTACTCTGATGTTGTTAGAGAAAGATATATATATCCGTTCCCAAGCCAGTAGTGGCTATCAAGGGATGTGATCCGTGACGCAATTAACTTAAAGGGGGAAGGGAAAGAAAGTTAAGAACTTAATATAATATAATGTCCGCCACCAATAAATAATATATAAAAAGGTTACACAGGGGGAGGGGTATTAACACTATACAAGGGGATTAAACTGTAGTCTTCTGCTGGAGACTATGGATCCTCGCTCTCTCTCGGTGCTGAGTCCTCGGTGCATTCGTGGCCACACAACGAATCCTCTGCGAAGTTGAGCCTACCCTGGCCACAGGTCAGCCAAAACACAGGTCCACTGGGGGCACCGCCGTGGAGGGCGTCAACCACACGTCCAGCTGGTCTGCTGGCAGGTTCCGGAACAGCAAGGCTGGTCAGGCCACTCCACGGACGATATAAGGGGAACGCCCTGGACAGGAGCCTCGTGTGACACCACAAATTACTCTCCCGTCCTCAATACCCCAGTGGACGATCGTCTCCAACAGTCGGTCCCGGGTAAATCCTTTTACTGCCACTCCACTGGCAGGCTAACACACCACAGTGTTCTTCCGGGGGGGACGACTTCGCAACTGCTGCAGCAAAGCTCAAGGTTTGGAGACGGCTGCCTCGGGTAGACTGACTCAACTTCCATCACAGGGGTCCCAGGTCGACTCTGTAAGCAGACACGTCATCAATACCTGGGACACACTAAAACACCTCACTTACGGGCTCAGGCACAAACGCCTGACGTATCCGCTCCATAGATGGCGGTGGTGTCTGGGCACCACCTCACCAGAGGTCAGCAGCGGCGGTGTTGAGCGCTGAACCAGACTGGAAACTGGTCCTCGAGGCCAGTACACGCTGTCCTCACCAGGTGTCTTCGTCCGTTTGGAGGGGGTTTCGGGAGCTGACCCACAGATGGCGTGGTTGTCACTGCTCCGGGCTCGGACGCTGGATCCGGGTTCGTAACACAGCACACACCTACACTAGTTACACCACACACCTGCACTAGTTACAGCACACACCTGCACTAGTTACAGCACACACCTGCACTAGTTACAGCATACACCTGCACTAGTTACAGCACACACCTACACTAGTTACAGCACACCCCTACACTAGTTACAGCACACACCTACACTAGTTACAGCACACACCTACACCAGTTACAGCACACCCCTACACTAGTTACAGCACACACCTACACTAGTTACAGCACACACCTACACTAGTTACAGCACACACCTACACTAGTTACAGCACACCCGTACACTAGTTACAGCACACACCTACACTAGATACATCACACTAACATTAGTTACACCTTCACTAGTTACAGCACACACCTACACCAGTTACAGCACACACCTACATTAGTTACACCTTCACTAGTTACAGCACACCTTCACTAGTTACAGCACACACCTTCACTAGTTACAGCACACACCTTCACTAGTTACAGCACACACCTACACTAGTTACAGCACACACCTACACTAGTTACAGCACACACCTGCACTAGTTACAGCACACACCTTCACTAGTTACAGCACACCCCTACACTAGTTACAGCACACACCTTCACTAGTTACAGCACACACCTACACCAGTTACAGCACACACCTACACTAGTTACAGCACACACCTACACTAGTTACAGCACACACCTACACTAGTTACAGCACACACCTTCACTAGTTACAGCATACACCTGCACTAGTTACAGCACACACCTACACTAGTTACAGCACACCCCTACACTAGTTACAGCACACACCTTCACTAGTTACAGCACACACCTTCACTAGTTACAGCACACCCCTACACTAGTTACAGCACACACCTTCACTAGTTACAGCACACACCTACACCAGTTACAGCACACACCTACACTAGTTACAGCACACACCTACACTAGTTACAACACACACCTGCACTAGTTACAGCACACACCTGCACTAGTTACAGCATACACCTGCACTAGTTACAGCACACACCTACACTAGTTACAGCACACCCCTACACTAGTTACAGCACACCCCTACACTAGTTACAGCACACACCTACACTAGTTACAGCACACACCTACACTAGTTACAGCACACACCTACACTAGTTACAGCACACCCCTACACTAGTTACAGCACACACCTACACTAGTTACAGCACACACCTACACTAGTTACAGCACACCCCTACACTAGTTACAGCACACACCTACACTAGTTACACCACACACCTTCACTAGTTACAGCACACACTAACACTAGTTACAGCACACACCTTCACTAGTTACAGCACACACCTTCACTAGTTACAGCACACACTAACACTAGTTACAGCACACACCTTCACTAGTTACAGCACACACTAACACTAGTTACAGCATACACCTTCACTAGTTACACCACACACCTTCACTAGTTACAGCACACACTAACACTAGTTACAGCACACACCTTCACTAGTTACAGCACACACTAACACTAGTTACAGCACACACCTTCACTAGTTACAGCACACACCTGCACTAGTTACAGCACACACCTACACTAGTTACAGCACACACCTACACTAGTTACAGCACACCCCTACACTAGTTACAGCACACACCTTCACTAGTTACAGCACACACCTACACTAGTTACAGCACACACCTACACTAGTTACATCACACTAACATTAGTTACACCTTCACTAGTTACAGCACACACCTAC